GTCCAATGAAATGGGATCTGGTGCTCCTGGAAGGGTGTTCTCCTTCATGTACAGTCCTGGGTCTGGGCACCTGGGAGCAGCATCAAACCCAGCTGGGGCTCAGCTTTTTGTTCCCCCACCTCCTGTGCAGCTGCATTTGTTGCAAGCTAGGAAATCATGAGTCAGGCCCTTCCCAAAGATCAGGATGCTTTTGGAAAAAAAGATTTTGGTCTGTCTCCCTTGTGCACATGTGGTGTGTGTGAGACAATTAGTGTTGTCAGCTCTCCAAAATGTATTAAGTATATATTTGCAGTGCACCCCAGCTAAGAAAGCTCTCACAGGTTACCTGATGGTGGAATCATCCCAGCTTTACCCCAAGCCAAACTCTAACTGATTGTTTCCCCCACAAACACCTGCCTTTTCCTAAACATATCATTTCTACCCCCTGCAGAAGAGCTGCTCAGTAATTTGATTACTCTTTTGTCCTGGTCTCTGCAATGTTTATTCTTTGGTATTTTGGTTCAGTTTAAGAGCAAGTCAATGAAGAAAAAAGGCAGGAAGCAGTACAACCAATGAAGATGGCCACCATTCACTGACACGAGACAATGGGAAACCTGTTTCCTCTTCAGACCTTCACTGATGTCACAGCACTAACATGTCAAGATTGGGCCCCAGCTTGGAAGCACAAAAGAACAGAGACCCTGAGTGAATTTATAAGAGATACTCTGTCAAACAGAAAGTCCCTGGCTAAGGAAGCTGTGATACCTAGACTCTTGGAGATGGAGTGACTGGAGAAGTGATACCTTCCTTGGGCCTCAGCTGAAATCTGACAAGCCTCATGGAAGGGCAACCTATATGTTGACTATGGCTGTGCTAAAATCCTGTCTTATTCGGTATTTTGTTTCTCAAGCTAAGTGAACATATTATTCTGTTCACCACTAGGCTGTCTGGTAACAGTGTTCACTGTACCTGCAGATTCCCAAATGGAAGACTTGCAGGTGCTGAATCCAGTTGGACCTGCAAAACTGTTGAAGCCCAGAATGTGGTAGCGCAGGACTGGGTCAAGGCATGGGAATACCGTGCAATTCCACCCTAGGAGAGGCAAAGGCTAGAGGCCTGGCACCCATGGAAATTCACTCCTGGAGACTAGAAAGAGGCAGAGCTGCAGCTGGGCCAGCAGTAGTCCCCACAGCAGCTCTATTCTGTGTCCCACTTGCTTGTGTAGCTTCAGCAGGCTGCCCCCTGTCCTGGAGCAGGAGCATGGCTCCAGAGGCTCTTCTCTGCCTTTCCTTCCAAGGTCTGGTGCTCCAGGGATGGCCAGACGTTTGGAGAGCAGACTGACTTCTTGATGTGAAGGAGGGAGTGGTGGAACCATCCAGGGCAGCTGGTCTCCTTGTGCTTCTCTCTCTCCCAGTGTACCCAGCCAAAAACTCTTTGGCCATTGAGGTATGGGAGAGGACTCTGCCTGTGTTCTGCAAGAGTTCTTATTTATTGGCTGCTCTTCCTGAGGAGGTGGCACAGTAGGAATGACAGTGGATCAGAGTGGGAAGTCCCTTAGAGCAGAGCTGAAATTTGGTAGAGAACTGATGCTTCACAGTTTATTGCTAAGCCAGCTCTTATCCTGACTGATTCACAAGAGTTTACAGCACCGAGACTGTGGGGAGCAGAGACTAGAAGGGGGCAGGAAGAAGGCTGTGGGATAGTACCAAACTACAGGGAGAGATTGTTGGAGGCAGGTGGGCACTGAGACAGAGGATCTTGGGAGGACAGGAGATTGAGGGGAGGGATGGGGAGGCTGTGTAGGAAGGAAACGAGTGATGGGGTGAGGCCAGAATAATAGCTCTTCAGGAATTTGGGAGTCAGGGGCATCCTCTAAGCGGTGAGAGAGTCCTATGTTTCTGAGTGGCCTTTTGGGGGTGAATACTGACTGCCATGAGTATGTTCTGCCATTGCAGCCTGTTAAAAAGTCTTGACTGAGACTGCAAAGTCATAAGTCAGCCAATTCAAAGTTTGGCTTTAAAACTGTAAGATATTCTGAAATAGCACCCTGTCAGGCTCTTTGTGTTTGTTCTGGTTTATGAAGATTAGGGGGTGGCTGCTGCCTACAGGTGTGTATAAGCTTTAAAAGCATGTGAAGAAATCATCATGAGTTTGGGTGCATGCAGTGTGTTTATCCCTCATGTCCCAGTGTTTTCTTGTTCTTGACTCCCTTGCTTCCCTGTTTGCTTCCCCTTCCTGTTGGCTTTTGTCTTTGGCCCTGTTTCTGAGCCCTTTCAGCAGGAACTATCTCTCTGTTCATACAGTCATGCCTGTGATCTGAACCCTAGAGACTGATGTTGTTTTAATAGGTAGGGGCCTATCTTGGGGGCCAGAGGGGCTTGAAATGTAGAATGGGATAAAGACAAGAAGAACACAGGACTGGAAGGGACATCCCTGGTCACCAAGTCCAGTCGCCTCTTTTATAGGCACCATGTCATATAACCTTTTCAATAACCAGATTAAACTCTGTCTTGTAAACAGGTTTCTGTCCCTATTGCTCCCATGGAGAGGTCATTCCAGATCTTTTCCGCTCTTACAATGAGGAACCTTCTTTCAACTTACAGGCAAAAACTATTCACAGCCAATTATTTTCCATTTGTTCTTGTGCCAGCATTCTTCCTCTGGCTTCAATAGCTATTCTTCCTGTCTGCTGTTTATGCTCTGATGTATTTATAGATAGTAATCATCCCCCTCTCCCAGGTTAGATTAAATGAGCTCTCTGCTGACCCAACAGACTTTCCCTCTCTTGAATATCCTGCTAACTACTCTTATCACTTGCTCCACTTTGAATTGAGCTTTCCTGAGCATGGGTAGCTAGAACTGTGCTCAGTATTCCAGTTGAGGGATGATCAGGGCCTTGTCTCATGGCATCAATATTTCCCTGTCTTTACTGGAAATATTATGCCTGGTAAATCCTAGGATCTTATTTGTCTCTTTCATGGCCACATCACAGTGATAGCTCAGCATCATCTTGTGATTGAGAATTATACCTAATTCCCTCTCTACCTTCACGTCTAGCTGATAAGACACCAGCTTAGTAGAAGTTCTTCTTTCTAGATGGCCTTGCATTTTGTACTGTTTTACCCCCTTTTTGTCATTCCAGTATTCAACATCATCCAGTTGTTCCTATATAATATTGCAATGTTTCTCCATTTTGATGCCTCCCAGCCCAGGTTCTTACTGTCCAAGTGCTGATACAAGTTCCAGATAGTTATTGGACCTTTGGCATGAAGGGATTCTAGGAAGATCCCAAGGGGACAGGCTTTCATTCTTGTTTCTCTATCCAAGAGCAACCCTACCAGTGTCTCCATCCTGGAGAATTTTAGGTGGGTGAATTTCAGGCCCACAAATGCTGAGAGAGGTGTAACAATTGTAGGGCAATATGGACCAGCAAAATGGGGTGGATTTAACTCCATCCCCAAACTCCTTTCTCCTCAAGTCATTTGGGCACTGGGGAGAAGCCTGTATGCTGCAACAAGTGCAGCCAGGCTGGAGCTGAGTGAAGGTTCAGTGAATGTGTCAGTGACCTTGAAGCACATCTGGCCCCAAGAGGATCCTGCCAGTACAAACAAGCCGCACTGCCTGCACCTCCTGGTCTCTGGCCCCTGCCCTAACCCACCTTGCCCTCTGCCACCTTCCGTGACTCTTCCTTCTCAGGCCCTTGCCTCACTGTGGCACACCCAGTTCTCTGCTTTACTAGTACCAACTATGTCAAAACATCCCAAGTCAGGTTCCATAAGACATGACATTGACTTTAACATAATTTTTTTTTTTTTAATAATACCTTTGGGTTCTTTTTGTTTCCCTTCTGGTTTCAAGATGTTTGGAAATGCTTGCTATATATTCTCTGATTTTTTGCTGCAACCACTAACTAGAAACTTACTTAAAAATGAAAGCTGTGATTCCCAACCTGTATCTTGCTTCCAGCAATTGGAGCTGTAAGAAACGCACCAAAAATTGAGAGACCTGTGGCAAATCACGAGTTTTAACAACACTGCAGTTCCTGTCTGGCTGGGCAGAATAGACCATCCCTTTCCTTGTGCTAGCCTAGGGCAAAATCCTCCAACTCCACTTCCTACTTCCCTGGTAGCATAAGTACCAAGCTTGGTTTCCTCCATCCATGAAAGAAAGGGACCTCTGGTGCAACAGTGCTAGGGAGTGTGTATGGGAGAATTAGAGTATTATGACCAGACAACTATGCACATAACTAGGGGTGCTTAATTCCTGGCCTCCAAAGCCATGTCATCCAGCCCATAGGCTCCCCACAGTTCTAAAAAGATGGCAGTGTAGCAGTGGCTGTGTTAATTTCTGCTCCCTTGCTACCAAATTTCTGGTTCATGGGGATCCCCACAGGCTGGAGAGCGCGGCCCTGCATGCTAGATTAGGCATGCAGGGCATTGCAGGTCCAATCCAGGCATGTGGGGCTGGACTGGGGCTATGCAGGCCCTATCTAGACACCTGGTGCAGGACCTGACCCAGGTGTACAGGGGCCAGCATGGTGGGCCTGATCTGGCCTGTGGGCAGTCTCTATTCCAGTCACCTGGCCAACAGGGCTCAAACGTTGAGCACCACTGGACATAACTGATCACTGAATAACATTTGCAGCTAAGAATTACCTTTTAATTTGCCAGTGATGACTCTGTATGTCTGCTTTGCTTTGTATACCACCTTCAGTATCTATTCATTTACACTAATTAATGGTGAACTTCACTTCTGGGCATTTGGAAACACAGATTTTTATTATAAAGACAGGATATTTGACATGGGAGCAAGCAGCTGATATATCATTATTTCCTGTTGTGGAATTCCTATTGACATCATTATAATCATTGCTCAGAGATGTGGAAAGCTTTGGTCAGCTCAACGTTTAAAATCATTGTATGCGCCAGGAACACTACTACCTTTGATGTCAGTGCCCAGGTCAGCTGACTGGCTGTTGCTATGAGACAACCCAGCTACCATAGGTTCTTGTTACTTGTAAACAAATGTAAGCCATGTATTGAATTTTAGTATACATTACATTAACTAAACCACATTTTGAGAACCAGTGGAAACGCATTTCACCACAAGGTAAATAGATATCTAAGTTTTTTGTCAAGTATGCATACAGAGATGAGTGGTGGGGCTGAATTAAAAAAAGACGGTCTCAAAGGTTTGCAATGATCTTTTACTTTGTTTTTCCTGAGAGATTTTATTAAAGCATTGTCTTGTTTAGTTCTTGAGAATATAATAGCTTGTTTGACTTTCTAATTTACAGAATGTTGTTCTCATGATAAGATCTCCTGAGACAAGACACAGAAAGTATAATTGTACTAAATAGTAAAAGACCATCACACCTATTTAAAAACATTATAAACTGTCCTAGGTATGGCACAGCAGATGACACTATCAAAAGGCTTTCTTCTTCATGACTATCATCATTAATAGAATAAATTACACTTGTTATTTGTCATTTTATTAACTTTATTCTCCCTACTGAACTTCAACTAGTTTACTATATTATTCTTTAGATTGGTGGTTTTCAACCTTTTTTTATTTGTGGACCCCTAAAACATTTAAAATGGAGGTGCAGACCCTTTGTTGTAAGCATAGGTACTCACATATTTTTGATTGTTCATAAGCATTTTTCACTGACTCCTTAGATATAGTTTTCAGACCACCTGCAGACTACAGACCACGGGTTGACAACCACTGCTTTAGCTTATTATTACAAGTGTCTGCACTGAGCAGATATGACACTAGAAAATGAAACATTTATTATGCAACTTGAGAATTATATTCAACAGCCTCCTGTGAGTTTACTTTGTTATTAAATCATTTTAGAGCACAGGTAATACTTCTGCCGAATTTGAGATGTTTAGGGGTGCTGGTTGATTCTGAATATTCTTTAGCATTAAAATATAAGATACAGTTTCTTTAGTTCCCTTGAAACAGAGTCCAAGGGTGTGTCCTGATGAGCACGCATATGCAGGGCTCGTGTTTCCCACAGGACAAATAGCAGTGGCACACCCCTGTACATGCACTCTGGTATGTGTCAAATTAACCTGGGTGGGGTAGGGGAGGCTGAAGCCAACACCTCCGGTGGCTCCAGCAGCCTTACATGAGGTCCTGGAGGCCTCCTGGGACAACAGCAGCACTGAGCTGGCCACTCAGAGCCTGCTGCCTGCTTTGCTCTGCTTTTTTTAGCAGCATTTTTTTTTTTTTTTTGACACTGGGATCTCCCAGTGCCAAAAAAATCCACTCTGCTGCAAATTAGCAGTGCAGCAAACAGGTACATGTGCTCTGCATGTACTTTGTGGCACCTGAAGTAGGATTGAGGTGCTGCAACCTGTACCTGCACACTTACCAGGACATGCCCCAAGAGTCAGTGTCACTTATCACTCCGTTCACAACTGATTGGAACACAGACACGTACACATCTGGCTGTCTGGTCAGTGCATACTAACCATTGTGTGTGTGCTGAATTGGGACTATGTGTGAAGAGTGTGTGCAGATGTGGTAGCTGCATGTTTGGAGACCATTTTGAGAGTTTAGCTGGAACCACAAGTCTGACAACTGATGAATATTTTCTCACATAGCTTAGCTAATTGTGTGCCATAGCTTTGGGTAGACTATGGAACATTTTGGTATTGTACAGTGAGATGAACTGGGCTGTTAGTGATGAGATCAGTAAGAAGAAATCTCCAAAGGGGTTCCAACATGTAGCTGGGAGTACTTGCACAAGCTTAGTACTTCAAAACTGGCTTTTGGGTTTGGAAACTCTGCAGGACAGCTTTGAAGAGTTTCATGTTTTCAGCTTCTAGCCCAGGCTGAAGGTAGGTAGTATGGCAGCTCATGAAAATGAATTGGATGGAATGGAAATAAAACAAAACTTCTTGAAGTTTTGTATGAATTCTGTTTGAAGGTTTAAGCAGTTTCTTGTCTCGCCTGAATCATTTTAATTAATGACTAAAAACACTGGGCCAAATTCACTGCTGTTGTAAACAGATGCTGGGATCTGATGACTTCAAGGGGGTGGTCTATTAATTTACACCAGCTGCAAGTTTAGTCCACTCTTTTGATTATGGCCGATGTCAACAGATTTCCACACATGCTGTCATCCGCCAGAGGACTTCAGTTGCCTGAGAGTCACTCCTCATGTCCAACCATGGAACACAGATGGCAGGGAAACTGTGGCTAATACAAGGGGTTGGGAAGTGAATTTGTGAATATTTCCAGCATTCTTTGAAATTTTTCAAGTGGAAGATGGAATGTAAGCACAGGACATCATTGTTATCATTAATATCACTCTACAGTGGAATGTATCTAAACTGGCATGTGCTTGTTTGCAGACTTAGAAGCAATGGAGCCTTTGTATTTGTACGACATCAGCACTATAATAAACAGCAAAACCACTGAGAGAATTATTTCACCCATGGCTGCTCAGCTTTGTCATCTCATTATAGCAATGGAGTGGGAAGGTGTGGATAATGAGGCCTTTCCTGACTTAGGGAAGACTGCAGAAGAGTTAGCTAAATCTACTGAAGAACTTGCTTTTGCTGCAAGAAGGTAATATTAATTGTAAAGCAGTGGGAAAAATGAAGGTTTAGTACATACTTGCAGGCTTGGCAGTGCTACACTTACCAGCACCACAGCAAGAGATCTGGGGTCTTGATAAACCATACAATGAACACGAGCCACCAGTACAATGCCATAGCCAGCAGAGCAAACAAAACACTGGCATGTGTCTCCCGATGCATCTCAAACAAGACTAAAGTTGTCATCCTCCTGCTTCACTCGGCCTTAGTGAGGCTGCAGCTGGAGTACTGCATCCAGTTCTGGGCATTGCACTTCAGGAAAAATGTGGAGAAATTTGAGAGAGTCCAAAGGAGGGCTGTGTGTATGGTTAGAGGTACACCCATACATTGGTTCCATATTGGATTGGCACTGATAGAAGGAAAATTGACAGTATCAGCAGTTGGCTTTTTTTGGCTGATGTGGCTGATAATGTTGCTAATAAATGCCCTGTGCATGCATGCAGCTGCAATGCAGCATGCAGGCTGCCAGGAGCACAGCCTGGCAGCATGGAGAGTAGCCAAGTCCAGCTAGTAAGTCTATCACAAGAGAAGGGGCATGGGGGGCACAGATTGAGGCCCCCACAATGAGGGAAGGAGTGGGGCTGGGTGTGGGATGGAGCTGTGAGCAGCTCATCCAGAGGGGGTGTGGGGAGAGGAGAGAGGCTCCTGCCGCTGCACACACCCCAGGAAGGCATGGGGGGGCGTGTGCCCCCAGATCTGTGTGCAGGGTGAGGGCTGGTTGGAGCCAGGGCTGTGCTGGGCTCTTCCTGGCCAGTGGGTTGGGTTGGGGCTACTCTCAGGGCAGGCAGTGATGGTGCTGGGAACAGGGCTGTGGCGAATTTTGGGGTATTGGCCAATATGGCTTGTTAAAAATCAGCCATTGGCATTGGCGCAAAAAATCTCTATCATTGCACCCCTAGTTAGAGATATGGAGTGCAGGACATACAATGAGAGGCTGAGAGACATGGGTCTGTTCAGCCAGAAGAAGAGAAGACTCAGAGGGGACTTAGTGGCAGCCTATCAATATGTAAAGGGGGTATATCAGGGACTGAGAGAACATCTGTTCACCAGGGCTCCCCAAGGGAATACTAGGACTAATGGTCATCAAATGCTAGATTAGACCACTTTAGATTAGACAGAAGAAAAAACTTCTTTACAACTCAAGTGTCCAGGGTCCAGAGTAGATTCCCCCCATCACCTACTCCGGATATCTTCAAAAAATGCCTGGATGCTCACCTTGCTGGGGGTCATCTGACCCCAGCAGTCTTTCCTGCCCAAGCACAGGGGGGCTGGACCTGATGATGTTGAGAGGTCTCTTCCAGCCCCTCAAAACTATGAATCTGTGAAAAGGTTGTGTAGGTCATGTGCTGCAATTTCTCTTCCCTGTGTTGCACCTGTGTGTGGATTTAACTGATAGCAGAGACATCTTGTCCTAGATGGAGGAAGAAAAAATTATTTGTGGGGGGGCTGAGTGCATGTGCACATGTATGCACCTACCCCCCACCCAGCAGGTGAGTCTGTGGGGGAACGGGTGGGGGAGGGGGAAGGGCCATGGGGGGGCACAGATTGAGGTCCAAGTGGTGAGGTAGGAGTGGGGCACAGGCAGGGGCAGAGTCTGGAGTCAATGGGGCCCTGGCCAGGCCAGGTGGTAGGATCATCCAGGGATATGGGGGGAAGGAGGTTCCCACCACTGTGTGTACCCCAGTAGAGCCTGGGGGCATGTGCCCCCGAATCTGTGCATGGGATGGAGGCGGCTGCCACTGCGTTTTGCGTCCAGCTGCAGCTGCCACTGCCTCTGTAGTGGTGCAACACTACCTGTGTCCCACTGCCAGGAAGGCAGGGGGCACGGCGCAGCATGAGACAGCCCAGCAGTGGCAGGCACGTGGCATTGCACTGCTTTGGGGGCAGCTGCAATAGGGCACAAAGCACAGCTCACAGCAGCAGCTGCCTCTGTCCCACACACAGATCTGGGGGGCACGTGCCCCCTGGGCCTCCGCCGGGATGCACACCATGGTGGGAGCCTCCCTGCACCCCTGGACAAGCCTCCTAGGCTCCGATTGTTTCACCACCCGGCCTGGCCAGGGCCCCATTCACCCCACCCCTGCCTCTGCCCCACCTCCCTCCTTCACTGCAGGGGCCTTGATCTGTGCCCCCCAGCCTCTTCCCCTTCACAGAATTGACTGATACTTTCCTGCCATGTTGGGCAGCCAGTGATGCACACTCTGGGCTGTGATCCTGGCTGTGTGTGCGCCTCTCCCCACCCCTTCTGCAGCTGCCTGGAGCCCGTGACTGGGCTGCCTTGTGGCCCTACCCGCTGCCCCAAGTTTGGGCGGGGGCAAGCCCTGTTAGCCCTGGCTTTCCACCACCTATGCATCTTGTGAATGTATGCATTCACAAACTCCAAACCTAGACTCTGATACCTGGCTTTGGGGAAGATGGACCTCCAGCCAAGCAGGGCAGGACCTAAGGGCCCATGACAGGCCTGATCTGCTTTGAGTCACAGCCATGCTGTGCCTGTAGCAGTTCCTTAGCAGTGCTAAGACTAAGAAAAGAAATCAAATCAGGCTTTTCAGTCTAAACTGTGTGTGGTGTGGGCTCTTGAGCCTGTATTTTTGTCTATAAGGCCCCCACCTGCAAGAGCTCAGTAAGTCATATAACTATTTATGCCACTGCTTAACACCTGCTGGCTCTGAATAAATTAATCTAGTAGAGATAGATAATGGGGGACAGCAGGGTCAGTGTAGAATGTGGCTTCCACTTCTTAGAGGACTACCTGTCCCTCACAACACACGTCACTGTGTTACAGTGTATACCAAGTATTAAAGCAGTAGCATAAAAATATGGTGTGTAGGCTGGAAACTGCTTCATCCAGCCCACCAGACTGCCAGCAAGTTAGGGAAGCTGGGGTCATGGCCTTTTGCCACTGCCATCACTATGGCAAGAAGTTGCTTGGCTGATGGCTACTTAGCTTACCTTTTCTGCTCCATGCTGAAGCCATCACCTCTGCCACCATGTGCCCTGGGCTAGAATAGCCACTTCCTGCCCCATGGCCTGGATTTGGCCTGGGGCACAGGTTGAGTTTGACGCCCCTGAATTGCAACGAAAGAGCAGTTTAGCCCCCTGTTCCCTGGAAATGCAATGGCTTACCTCCCAGCCAATGCTAGTAGTTTAGAAACTGTTTGCATCCTTCACCTATTTTGCAAATGTAGCCTGCTAACTACACAGTGTTATATAACACTACGCAGAGAGATGTTACATTACTGGTACTCAGTTGCATGACAAAAGGGGGCAGCCAGGGCAACAGACTTGGGCACTGCTTTTGGTGGGGGCAGAGGCAGGGAAGGTGGAGGGTGGAAGGGGAGACACAAAAACAGCTATCACTTCAGCAGTGGCTGCCTATGCTACTATAATTGAAATGACAACAGCCAGTTCTGCTCTGTGTCATGGCTGCCCCAGACACACAACTGCCATGCTGTGCCTCTCCTGATATCTGCATGATGGAGATCAGTGTCTTTCATTCAGGCTGGCTGAGGAGTCCAATGATGAAGTGCTGAGAGATGAGATGTGTCCTGCAGCTGAATCTGTCCTCGTGTCTGGCAAGAGTACCTTACTAGCAGCCCAGAAACTTAACATTCAGCCTGAGATCCAGAGCCATAAGGAGGAACTGATTGTCTCAGCACAAAGGGTCTTGATGGAGACAATGCGGGTGAGTGCAATGTTGCTGTGTCAGTTCTGAATGTTGTGAACGCAGTGACCTTCCTGGTGGAGGACTTACAGATTCTAAGTCCTCCACCAGCAATATTCACTGTGTCCACAAATTCCTACAGAACAGGTCTGGTCTGTAAAGTAGTCCTCCTCATTGCCCAGGAGCTTTTCTAGGTCCTCCCTATGTCTCTGTAGTAACTGGGGGCTGGCAGCTCTGGGGCCTTGAGGCTTAACATGAGTCAGGAGCAACTCTAGTGGCCACGCCAAGACTGACCCGATACTTCTCTTCTCCCTCTGCTTGAAACAGAGGAGGCAGGCTTGCTTTTTTCCCCTACCCTGCAGAGCAATTTCTCCTCTTCCTCTCTGAGCTGCCTGAGTGGAGAGGAGGGAGTGCCCCCAGCAGAGCTCATGGAAACCAAAGAGAAGCATTCGACAGAGTGAAGTGGTTTGTTTGCCCTGGGTTGTGCTGACATGGGTGGAATCCAGCAAGGTAGATGTTAAGCACCTTATTTTCTGGACTCCATAAGGATTAGTGCAACCAAGCAGAAGTTGGCCGTAAGCAGAGAGCAGCTGCTCTGTTGGCACAGATAATCTGCTGGAACAGGTGGCTGTTCAGACGTGTCGATCAATTCTGCTCCACTATACAAAGAGCTTGTTCTGACCAGCTGTATGGCACACATGTTCCATGCCCACTCATCCTCTCTGAGCTGAGAATATTAGAGGAGCGTTCTGTACGTGCTGCTGCCACAGGGCCTACCACTTGAAACTGGATGATATTTCTTCTCTGATTCAAAAATGCTGTTGGATTGGTTCTGTACAGCCAGACTCAGTACAACCCCTCGGGCTTTCAGTCCTTTATGGACAGGAGGATCTGTCACTCCCTGTACCCAGCATTCTCATGATCTATTTCATATGTGGGTGCTTCTCTCGTGTTCTGCAGCACCACAAATGCAGCTGACAGAGATGGCTGGCAGGGACTGGCATGGACCTCTGTTTTAGGTGTGTCTGAACTGAGAAGCCCTGGGATCTGGGTATGTCAATAGGTTAACTGTGTTTGAAAACAGGTGGACCACACATGATCTGAAGTTGCAGCAGACCAGAGCCATGGTCTAGTCCTATTCTTACCACAACCCCCTTCTCTCTTCAGTTAAGATGTTTTTGCGCACTCCATTTACCCTCCTTTTTCTCATAAGTAGATAAGATGATTTATATGCTAGTATCATGCACTGCTCAAGGCTTTTCTCCATGCATGAGGAGACCAATAGGCATTACCTATCAATAAGTATCCTTTAACTATGGGTTCCTGGTAAATTTGACTTCCTGAATTTTCCTAGTTTTCTAGTCATGTTAGACTGGGAAATGGTGCAATACAGTGTAATAAAGATCTACATAGATTTTTTTCACTGGGCTTCCTGGAAGACGTCTCCAGTTTGCTTCAGAAGTGATGCTAGAATGGCTTTGCCCAGGGACACGAGTTTTAGGAGGAGGCATCTCTCCTGCTGGAGGGGTTCAGATCTGAGACATATTTTACTAACCAACAATGTGTGCTGCTTCTAGAGGAGCTCTTTCCCATGCTACTGAATTTGCAAGAAGAGGTTCTAGTCATATTTCTGTCTGTTTGTATTGCAGTGGGGCCCAGACTGCCAGGCCAGGGTTCCACTTTTCTGAGTGCTGCATGCGCCCTTCCCCCGGTGAAATACTAAACTTTGTGTACATGGTTTCATCTTCTCATAATTCAATATAAATAGGTCTTGAGTGCTTTCTTGGCAGCCTGTAACTATTACTTATGTATTACTGCTGCTAGATATAATACAGTTTGTCTGAAAGGAAAATTAAAGGTTCAAATTCTGCCCTGTCATACTGGAAGGAACTCTGAAATAGCTCCAATATTTTCGATATTTATTTTGGATTGACAAAATCTACCCTTCATGCTCTTATCTCACATTGTAACTATTGCATCTTCTTGCTCTCTGCCCCTGGATGCCTGCAAGCCCACCCAAAATACTAAGCTCTCTTACCGTAAGCCTCTGACTGCATTACAAAATACCCTTGAGACCTTTCAGTGCTTCCCTGCCCCCTTTTGCCACATAAGATACAAACTTCTTGGCCTTAACCTCAAGGATCTGCACAATTTGGTCCCACACTATCATCTCTGTTAGATTGCTGCATTGGATGTAGTACCAGCTCTGCCAACTGTGCTATCAAGGCATGCCTACTTGTTTCATCAGCATCTGCTCCCGCATCACCTCCTGTGTACGGAATACCCTGTCCAGAAAAACCCATAACATTGCTATTCCCTTCTTCACATCTACTTCTATGGTGTCCACAGGCCCTGCCAGCTGCTACTGGGTAGGCAAATGGCAAACAGCTTATTTTTATTATCTGCTTTGTCTCATTAGGAAAACAAAATATGACAAGTAGCACATGCTGTAGTCCAGGAGAAGCCTGCTTATATTATATTAGGGTCTTATGACTGCCCATTCATGTGGTAGCTCAGTCCCTTGCAGTCTTTACTGTGTCTGCACTTGCACTCCTTTGGATGACAGGGCAGGGCAGGACTGTTGTTCCCATTGTACAGCTGGGGAGCTGAGAGAGATGCAGACAGACAGACAGAGTTTGGGGCCCTTAAAGGCATTTAGCATCTGACTGCCTTTAAGTGCTTCTGGAGATCTGGGCTTGATTGACTTGAACATGGTCACCTAGGGAAGTGACCACAGGTCTCTGAAGTCCTGGGTGAGTGTCTCAACTACAGGGCCATGCACCCTCTCCCTGGTTCTTTTGCTCATATTATAGATGCTGACTTTGTTTTTTGCTGGCAGGTGCTTTTTTTGGCATTCCCATGCTGAGCTTCATGCATGCCCAGAAGAGGCAGCGCGCTACTTCAGCTTGGCTCACCTGATGTGACTCATGGGTTCTGAGCACCCGCTAATTTTTTTCAGTGGGTGCTTGAGCCCTGGAGCATCTGTGGAGTTGGAGCCTGAGACTCATATTGTGTGACTTGTCTTAACCTGAAAATGATAGCTCTTTGGGAGTGAGACTGCCCTCCTACCTTTTTATGGTGAAGATCACTTTTTGGCACCCCAGGATCTACTGCGGCCCTCCCTGCTCCACCTGCCCTACATCCTGGCCTGGCCCCCCTGCCTCCCGGACAAGTTGCCCAGGCTCTGACCTCACTCACCC